TCTATAAAAAACATGATGTCTTCACTGACCCCATCACTTCATCAGTGTCTGTTCAGAAGTTCTCAGCAAAGCACAATGACCTTGAATTTCACCCTGGCTTTCAGCACTGATCAAACACATGACTCATCCTAACATTTCAACTTCTCTGCATTTTAGTGTTTTGCATTTTGTAGTTTTACGTAGATGTAACCATTTTGGTTTTCTGCCACTTACTGCAAGTCTAGGCAGAGTGTGCCAACAATAACAATACGCTTAATGACTGCGAATGTCTTTAACCCAAATATGTTTGCTAGTGTCCAGTGTCAACAGCATAAACTAAGGAGTCTAATGCTAGATCATCCAGAATTAACATTTTCAAATCCATATCTTATCCTTAATGTCCAGTTAAGGAACCTGATGAAAAAAACAAGCTTAATCCTGTGTATTTGTAGTCTCTCACCAAACACTGATTTGAACCAGTCCAAAACCCCACCCATTCCTAAGCAAATATTCAAAAAGTGCTTATGTAAATAATGTACATAAGTAGTTTGCCCATTAAACAACTGACATAAAAGGCTTAAAAATGTAATAAAGCAAAGCTTGTATCTATATAGATATTAAATACATACATATATGTCTATAAATATTCATGTATATTTCTTAAATAAACATATACCTAGCTTGTATGAAGTTAGTGTAAACACTGAACTAGGTTACCTGCTGTATTCATATATTCTCAAAGCAATTCTCCTAGTGATGAGTACATGAAGTTGCTCTTTCTGTTCTACAGCAATATAGCAACTGTGCTATTAATAATAGGATTATACTATAGTATGTAACACTAATATTATAATAATATTATTGTATTGTGACTGCAGTGCTCAATAGAAAGCAATGAATTTGGAATGAGCATAAACCTCTGAGATTACCTTCTCTAACTGTGCATGTCACCCAGGACTTTGCAAGTAACAAGGTGAGCAGCAAACATCTCAAACTGCAACTGCTTCATACCACTATAACCTGATGTTGCCCTTTTGCTGTAGCAAACCGTGAAATTGTCTTTTCCCTCAACATTCCCATTTCCAGTGACTTCATTGCTCCTTGAAATTCCTCTCTAGGTGATGCCCCTTCAGCCTTCGCCTGCCATCCTGTTTACCCAGAATTTCTAGGGTGCACGCATCTGGAAGAGATGGCAGGATTTGACACTCAACTGGAATGCACCCTTCCTACTTTCAACACTATCTCATACTTCACTGCCAGTTCTCAGGAACCCTTTTTGTGTTTGTATTATGGCCCAGCCCTACTGCCGTACAGCTTAGCCCTTGCCTGTGTTGCGTAGTGATGTCTCCAGGCTTTTTGATTTCTTCACCACTTTACACAATGCTTTTACTTCTTCAACTTCTCCAGAAGTCTTAAGTCACTTACTCAGACTCTGTAACTTCTAGTTTTACTGCTTGTCCAACCTCTCCATGGTTGTTTAGGCTTCTTCCACAGAACTCAGGATCAATTTGCATTTTCCACCCACTCTGCAGAGGGATATCTTTGTCATTACTTGTTATTTATCTGGCACGTTGTCCCCGTGTTACCTTAGCTACCACCTTTGCAGAGCTCTCCTTTTTCTCATCCAGGCAACATCAGTATTGATTTGCACTTAGTTCTTTTTTTTAATTTTACCATAACTTTCCCCACAACTAATTCAGTTTAGCTAAGTGAATATGTCTTCATGAGGGAAACATATATTGTCAGCAGTCAGATCTGTATCAGCCATCATATCAGCCTTGGAAACTCCTCCAGCTAGTAGGTTACAACAATTAACATGGGCTGAAGTAGAATTCACAGACTGGAGGCTACAGCTTACCTGTATAAACATTCTTGCCCTGCTGCAAAGGTGTCAGCTGTGTTTGAAAACTGGCACTAGACTGATTTTAAAAGGGTCTATCAGCAGCAACAGAAATATTACATGTTACTAACACAGTGTTCAATTAAACAGAGCCAGTAACACATCACATGATCAGCTGGTGTATTTGTGGAGTTTTGGGAAAATGGTTCAAGAAAGACCTGTAGCAATGTTTTCCCTTTTCCAACTCTGTATTTAAACACTCCTTAAGCTCCCAGCTGTTTTCTAACTTCTGTCTGTTCAGTAACAGAGAAAAAAAGGTTTGATATAATGGAAAATGCCATTAACAGGTTAACTTTCAACTTTGCCTTGAACTTCTTAAATGACTGATTAACTTACTTCCTGACAGTTTATAGAAGAAATGAGGGTTGTAAACAGGACTGCTTACTTCTTTCTTATCACTTAAGTATCTGTTTAATTTATTCATCACTCACACACTAACTGCCTAGAAACAGTGCAGGGTGAAGTGCTTGTAACCATGAATTCCACAGTCATGCACTGGACAAGAATCAGGATAAAGGCCAAGAAACCACTAGTCCTCCTTAAGCCCTAAAAGAGTAGTCTACAGTTCAAGTGGTGCCTACAGGCAGTTTCCACTAAAGTAAGTGGCTTTCAGTGTCCCACTAGTGTGACACTCATGAGTGAATGTGTACTGGCTGGGCCCTTTGTGTGCGATCATCTAAAGAGAGAGAAGGGGACATGACTTGGGAGTTCGTATTGCATTTTACTAGAAACGGAAATGTGAAGCCCCTTCCTAGCACGATATTGGTTTAAAAGAATGAGGTCTCACTGAGGAGGCACCGCTGCTTTTGCCCAGGTCACTAAGAAGCAACCAGATAGGCCTGTCCTGCTGAGCCTGGGTAGGTCCTCACAGGCTATGTTGATAAGGCACGCTGCTATGCATAGCAAAAAGCAGAGCAGGGAGGGATGGAACAGTATTTGCATCCAGTCACCTTTGCTTTTCCAGCCCAAATGAGCAGCCTCTCAGGTTTTTTCCGGATCAGTGAGGAGAACACTCAGGGAAAGCCCAGAACAAGGCCTGAATTTAGCATCAGATGTGAAACATGTCGTTGAGCTTCTATGAGCACTCAGCCAACATCACTGACACTGGGCTGGTTTAAAAAAAAAAAAAAAAAGTACCTAATAACATCTCTTCTCAGTCTCCTCTGTGAACTAACACAGCCTTTGAAAAACCAACAAGCCAAAAAAAACCCCAAACCACCACAATTTTGTATGGCAGAGATAGAATAAAAAAATAATATTAGCTCTCAGGAATCTGCTTCAAACATGGACCTATTTCTGTATTCTCCTCTATATCTTTTAAAATTTAATGAAAAGATATATGAAGGATTACATGAAGGTTGACCCTTGGCATAAGAAAAATATGTTACTGCATTATTAGACAGCAAGGAAAAATGGCTTCCTGTCTGTGTGCTATTGTCCTCATTGTTAAAACAACCTGCTATATTATAGTGTTGCTCCATAGCAAAAGCACTTTCCCTGTCTCTCAAGTTGGCTGTGTTAATAACAAGCTTTCTATTTGCCCTTGATGCATGGGATGTGAGCCTAGTAATTATTCTGAAAAGAAACTCCTTCTTGTAGTGTAATTCTCTGGTCTGTATAATCATCCTTTTGGGTCCTGCTTCTCAGCACTGAGCCAAAGGCTGGTTAAAGCAAAGTACCAGGTGATGGTTCAAGAGGACAGTCTCAGTAAAACTCGTCTTGCTCTTTACTTGGAATGTCAATCATGTTTTGGCATCCTTGATTACCCCTCCTTGAGCTCTGAAAAGCCTACCCAAACTCCGAAGTTGATGCTCAGTCTGGTGTTTATCACAGCTGTAACAGGGAGCAGCAACGATAGAAGCACCCAAAGGAAAATAGGCTATTCTCGTTGTCAAAAGTGATGATGTATGCTCAATATCCAGGGTGATCTCACGTCGCCAAATGGCATACAGTAAGACCAAAGAGAAGAGGCGCGTGCTCCTTCTTCAGAGAGGAGGCTGAAAGGACCAGAGAATGAGGAGTTGCATGAATAAAGCTGGAAGCTGGCATCTTAAAAAAGTGAAGGCCACACACGTCTGCAAAACCATGTGTAGGTTCCACACCAGTAATGATAGTACATTCAGGAACTGGAAGTAGAAGAGCTGTTTCAGTGTGGTGCTGTCAGTGCCTACTACTTCAAAGATAGCATTTTATTAACTCAATGATATTCTTTGAGGGTTTTTCATGGCATGGGGTTGCAGGAGCTCAGTCACTGGCGGGACAGACGTTTCTGGGCTGTGTTCATCATGCAGAGCACACCATAAAAAGCAATAAGTTTTCTACACTGACCAAAGAAGAAGTCTCAATGGGGGCTACACAAGGTTTATTCTGCTGACTACTGCAGCTGCATCACTGCTCAGGCACCACTTGCTGTTTCTGTTGTTGTTCTAGATTTGCTATTCTACAAATACATCCAGAGACACTGCCTCCAAGATGCTACTGTTTTAGAGCTGCTGGTATGGTGACTAGTTATGGCTGAATTAATTTCACAGGCTTTTAAAAATTTATTTTCCAGTGTTGTGTGATCCTTCTAAAATGTTATGGTAATCTGTTAAATAGCGCTGAGTTTGGACTCTGAACTTATTTTGCTAGATGCAATGGTTGTAAGTTTCCAATTAACTAAAAATTAAGCATTAACTGGAATACCTTAATTGAAAAAAATATGAAAACATTTCAATTAATTTTTGCAATTATAAATTAGTAAGTAAGTACTAGTAATTAGCTCAGATAAAGTTGTACCTTGACTTTCTTTCTAAACATTTGTAATGCCTAGGGCCTTTCTTAAATCACTCAAGCATGACAATTTCTTTCAGCCACATTAACTTTCTGTAGCAAGTGTTACTGAACTTGTTCAAGTATAATTTGCTTATGTTATGCCTTTTTGCTTACTCACATGACTAAAGTACTTTTCTCTCCACACAGTGGCATTACTAAGTCCCTGGGTTACAGAGAAACATGCTAGGAATACAGATTATAGCTTTCATATTTTGCTTCTGTGGGCTGGGAGCTGCTATTGCTGCTACTGCATCGAATGAGTGGAAAGTCACTAGTCGAGCATCATCTGTTATCACTGCAACCTGGGTTTTCCAGGGTCTTTGGATGAACTGTGCCGGCAACGCACTGGGTGCTTTTCACTGCAGACCTCACCTTACTATCTTCAAAGTAGAAGGTAAGTAAGTGTAATTTAACTGGAACACATGGAGAGCTATGTGTATTGCAAGATGTGAGCCTGAGGAGAAAAAGATTATTTTGGCTTGTGCAAGAGATTATGATTAAAGCATTGTGATGAATATAAGTAAAGGATATTGTAGGCAGAATTTCAGAAACAACTTTGTACGAATGATATGTATTCCAAGAAAGACAGTAAGCTCTACTCTGTGGTTAGTAATATGCGATAAGTATACTGGACAAAGTTCCAGTAAGTACACTATCAGTAACAAACCACTGTTAGCAGAGAGATGGATTAAACTGTCTTCCAGCTCTAATTTCCATGCAAAAATAAGCGTCCTACTTGCTGGATGGGGAAAGGAGGAAAGATAGCAGGGTCTGTGACAGCTATAGGTACTCTTTTTAGTGTCTAAGGAAATGAGATAGCAAAGAACCGCGTCCACAAATACTATGCAAATATACATATGTTGGGAATTAAGTGTGCGTGTATATACTTGCTGTATCACAGGCTAATATTTTAAATTTAAAGATCAAAGGTGTGCTGTTTCAGAATGTCCATTTTAATGGAAAGCGTTGGATTTGGAAGCCATCTATCAGAGCATAAAAACAAATGGGGTCTTCTTGCCTTATATCAGGAAAAGGTTTTCTCAGAGGCACGGACTAACTAAAAGTTTACTACGCAATGTGTTTTCTGTTTTGCTCTGTATGTAAAGCAGTAAATGTAGAGGTTTGGTTTCTATTTGCTGTTAAGCTTTGAGACAATAGGCAAGAGAGTGTTTTCAGTGAAACTGTGTATAAGTACTCATGAGGGCAAGGGCAGAAGGACTGCTCTCTCCTGGATGTGGGCAGCACACAAGCAAGATGGAGTCAGGCTAGAGCAGGAAAAAATGGATTATGACACTGGTATTTTAGGGAACCAGAAAATAAATCCAGGCTAGACACAACCAGTCTTCCAAAGCTTTTATGAGACCAGAAAGAAGCACAATTCTAAGATATTAACAGCCAGTGGCTGAACGAGACATAAAATGTACTGTTGCACAGTTGTTACCACATTACATAAACAGGGTCATAGACACACACACCCCTTGCACACACGTGGAAACATGGAAACACGGGGATGTTACAGATCTGTACCTTTCCTTGCTTCTCATGCCACTGCCACATCAGCCTGTGTGCTGGGACATACAGATCGATGCTTACACGTACAGAGGATTTTGAGATAAAACTCAGCGTCATTTTTGTACACATTTTATCATGCCCTGCTCCAAACCATCACAAATCACACATGAGGGACATGAATGGATAAAAATAGTTTTACCTCTTTTAAAGAACGCTGTTCATCAAAAATTATTTAAAAGACATAGAAACTCACACGTACAATTTAAAAGTGAATCTTGTATCTTTGCAAATAACCATTTATGCATTATTTCTGCTGAGATTTAAAGAAAAAAAACAACAACTCTTCTCCTCAGGCACATATGATCAAATTTGTTTAAAGCAATGCAAAGTACCTCAGTAACTAGAAACTACCATTATTGCTATTAGTCATAGTACAAAAGCTGCTTCCAGAATAATAAGCTGTAATCTATTTGCCACTTTGTATTGTTATATTATTTTGATCACTGGCAGATTGAAACTTGAATAAACAGAATACGTGTCATTATGTGTGCATCCTTTAAATATATACTTAAGCATCTGAGTAAGATTCTGCTTATTTGCTGTTTAGAGTAACATAGACAAGAAATTCACAACAAATTAAAGTAGCATGCTCTTATTGAAGTAAGAGAGTAGCAAGCTGCTGTCCTGACATTTAGGAAGTCTAATTTTAACCTGCCAGTGCACGTACCAGCAAAGGGTAATGTTACACGTAGCCTAAACGCGACTGGGAAAGAGTGAGGTATTTTGTTTGGAAAACCTGCTAAACATAAACTCCTGGTAATCCAAGGAAAACAAGAGTTCAACAGGGAAAGAGCTTTGCACTCTCACTCCGTCCTACATTGTAAAACAATAAAACGCTCAGATTAAAGAAGCTCTGTCCTCAGAGCTTCAATATGTCATCATTATTGGCATACTGATGTCAGGGTGTGCTGGCAATATATCTTTTTCTTCTGCACATTTATGATTTTATGGAATCTATTTGCAATTTGTCCTATAGCCAAAGATAACTCTGTTACACAAGTTCCTCACTTCATTCCTACCTATCTGCCTTCAGGTTACCCCACAGAAACTATTAGCAGTAAATAACATAAGTCACTTCTACTTCAAAGCAGATTCATTTGATCATTAAAGTTTTGATTGTACTTTTGGGAGGATTTTTCGGGAGAGGCTTCTACATAAGCTCTATGACGTTTTAAGATTTTTTTTCCTATTTAAATCACAGTAAACAAAAACCAGACTCCAGAGGTCTTTCTTTGAGCAGGATTATGCTGTGGTCATAGGCAGTAGGTAGGTATTTACCAGAACTGACTTTCAGCTAAAGGACTAGTTGTGCTGATAGGAGCATATCCAAGGCAATAAGAGCTCAGTTTCTACAACCCAGCCCACCTAGAGATCTTGAGGGGTTCATGTTTCTGGAAGTCTGCGTTAGCATGGCCACACTGCTAACCGTATCCAAGCTAGCTGGGCTGTTGCCAAATGTACGTGTACAGCCACAGTGTGCTCCACCGCAGTGACTGAAACATTCGGTGAAAGGTCCTGGAGGGGTACGACGTATTTACTGTAGCATGAATAGTAATAGTGTTGTAGCTACAGTCATTTAAGGCAATGTTTGTGAGAAGAAGCAATATCTTTTATTAAATCAACTGCTTTGGGAGAAGTACGCAACGAAGTCATTCATAAGATCTGACACAAATACAGCAAGCTTCAAGCTAAATATTATCTGGGAACATTGTCTCTTCAGTTAACTTGGTTATGATTATCAATGCACCAGATATACTGATGGAAATTACATGATAAAAACCAAGGACCATTACCCACAGGCATAAACTCACACAGTCAATAAATGCTAGAAATTAAAACTAGCAGAGAGACAATATTGTTTAGCAAAACCAGTAACCTCTGATTAACCTCTCAGTCCTTATCAGTAAGAAAGACCCACAAAGACCCTTCAAAGGGTGAGCCTGGGAACTAAAGCTCCTGAGTCCACTGGAGTCAGAGCTGCCATGGACTCCAGAAAGATACTGACTTTTTATGGCAGACTTTCCACCCATCCTGTCTCCTGCTAACTCCTCAGTGCTCCACAGGCAGTAGTTACCTCTCTTCTCATTCCTCTCATGTTTATCATCTTGAATTCTTACAATCCCAGAATTATCCAGATTTGACAACTAGCTTTTAGTTGTCTACCACTGCTTAGACACTTTATTTAGATATTTTGCTTTTGATGATGCTACAGAGAGCTGTTTTGTTCACATAAAATACAGAAGTGTAACTAGTAAACTGAATTATGCCCACGTCCCTCTCCTATGACACTCCCCTAGTCAGTCAAGGCAGCTACTAGGCTTCTTCAAACAATTAGTTCAGCATTTGGCATGCCTAGCCTACGGCGCTGTTTTGTGACTCCTCTGCGCTCTCTGGTTTTCCATGCCAGGCATCAGGGAGGTATACCAGAAAGTAGAAGAAATATTCTTCCTTGAACCTTTGCTTGCTTGAGCCTCAGATCTCCTGCTGGCATCTCTTAGTCTTGCTAGTGCCTGTTTGATGGAGCCAGGTGGGGCAAGTAGTGCTATCCTGATGGTAGCCAATATGGAAGGGGCAATGCCCAGGCGTTCTGGGTCGCGTCAGCAGACAGATTCAGAGCTGCCGTTTCACGAAGGTGCCGCTGTAATGCAGCTAAGGGGTGGAAGGAAGCTGAAACAAGGGGACTGCTACTGCAGCACCTGTACCCAGAACCGCCTTGCATAGTCAAACACCATTTGAGTCCATCGGGCTGTGGAGAGCAATTCCAGCCTCACTTCAGGGCGACACCAGCAATTTTCCCAGAGGAAAGGGGAAGGGGACAGTCTACCCAGGAAGGACTGACGAGAGTTCCCCTCACTAGACAGAAACTTACCGCCAGGCAAAACACGCCATCCATTTGATTGCTGCCCGTCGACAACGGCGTGGCAGCCAAAACCAGCCTTCTCCCGCGCCTGTGAGGAGGGAACTCGGCGCTCGATCCCCCAGCGGCCAACGCCACGGCTCCGTACACCTCGCAAGCGGGGTTACATGGGGCTGGGGGGGCAGGAGGAGGTGCCCTGCCCGCTCCCTGCCCGCTCCCTGCCCGCTCCCTGCCCGCTCCCTGCCCGCTCCCTGCCCGCTCCTCTCTCCATGGTGCTGCAGGCTCGGCCCCGGGCGAGCGCCGCCGGCGTGGGGGCAACAAGATCGCTCCGGTCCTGGCCAGGCAGTAGCTCGCCCCCGGCTTCCCCCGGGTGAGTGGCCACAGGAGAGGAGAGGTTTAACTGCACCCAGGGCCACGGCAAAGCAGCAGCAGAGCGTGCTTTTGGGAGGACAAAAGGGGAGAGGGCTGGGCTGTCAGCCGGTGAACGGCTTGCGGCCGTCAGCGGGAAGGGAGGAATCCGTCGGGGAGGTTTTCTTCAGGCTGATGGCCAGCCACAGAGGACTCTGCTGAGGGATACTTCGGGCGGTCAAAGGGACAGAGTCAGGAGGGTCCGATATTAGAGGATAACCATGTCTAAGGACTCTCCTGTAGCAACGAAATCCTTCCAGGAAAAGTGCTAACTGAAGGGAGGTATGGCTGATTTGTGTTCGGCAGACTGAGCCACCCCTCCGTTAAGTTGTTCTGCCCAATGAGCACAATATCCATTCGCTGATTTAGAAAAGCAAAGTCAAACCGGCATTGGCAAAGTTGCATCAGTATAAAAAGAATTATACACTAGGATCAATTGTGCACATTTGGGAATGGTGACCACGAGACGTGGCCAGAATTCCTCTCAGAGTTTTATGGCTCGATTCCAAAGTACTCTCCATTTCTCAGCAGGCAGAAGGTCACTGTTTGGACTGATC